CTGACTACTACAAAGGCTGAAGGGAATAGGAAAGATCCCCAGCAGGAGTAGAAATCAAGTGTCAGTGAGACAAATGGCCCCAGATGGCCAGACTTGCTTTAGAAAAAACAAGGGCCTCATTTCCCCAATATCTATTTCCTAGTTCTAGGCTTCCTTTCATTTTTATTCTCCTCTTCATCTACAAAAACAGCTCGCTGTGTCATGTTCTCGTCAGTGTTCTTTTTCCTCTTGATGCTCCAACTAAATTTTCTGATCAGTGCAACCTCACCACCTTCTCAGAGATCATAAACTCTTTCTTGGGTGGATCACTTCTTACAAAAGTCACCACCTCCTTTCCTTGGATTCCTGAGGACAGCACAGGGAGGCGTTGTGAAGTGCATACCCACATTAGGCCACTCACAGCACCGCGCTGGGAGCAGGCACAACACCTACCCAGTAACAGCACTAGCTCCACCAAGCCCTGACATACTTCCCCGGGATAACTGTCTACCCCCTTGTATGTGTCCTAAACTTCAGAAAATCTACCTATTTCCCAGTGGATCCCAAGGCTTCAATGACATCTCAATAACATTATAATTTCTCAAACTGAAAGAAAACAAAAGCTAGAAGGTGGAAATATTCTTTCACAGGGAAAGAAAAGACATAGCACATTCCCAAAGAAATACCCCTTGACTCTCAAGGTATAAATCTCGTCAACTCCCATGCAGCTACCGTGATCCTTAAAATGAAATTTGGGGTTCACCAAGGTCCTGAGCTTAACTTGTTTCTTAAACTTAAGTGAAATTGCTGGGGTCCAACCCCAGCCGGTCCAGGGGTCCCCAAAGGTGTGGACGGAGTCGGTGAGGAAGGAATGACACGGAGGCAGCCTTCTGGTGATCATCATAGCCAGGTTCCTCTAACAAATTCTGGTCAGGATCTCCAGCGAAGTTCTGATTAGGATCTCCAGCCAGGTTCTGTCCAGGTTCTCCAGCCAGGTTCTGTAGCCAGGTTCTGTCCAGGATCTTTTGCCATGTTCTGTCTCTAGCTAGGTTCTGTCTCTTGGTTCTGTCTCTCAGTTCTGTCTTCTAAGTTCTGTGTCCTGTTGTCTTGTTACATCTGTATTTATACCAGTTGATTCCAATCCTATCAATCTCTATTCTAAAGGTTAGGGCATTTCTTATCTCCATTCCAGGGAGTAAAGATTATGAAGCTTAAGCATGATTGTTCATAGTTAAAGTGATTAATTACCCACCTGGCACTCAGTTAAGAGGTTTTATTCCCTCCCTAACTTCAGGGGGAAATCCCTACCTGGGGAAACAACCTTTCTCGGAGAGGTGACCTTGGTTAAAACACATAGTGCCAAGAAGGTGAGCAAACATATTAAGAACAGTATGCCATATATGCCAGGTCCCTTGAAACAGCAAGGATGGACTGGCTCCCAGCATGAAATCATGTTGGCAAGTGCCAGTTTAGAAGCAAATGGGGTTAAAGTAATACCTCTGAGGGGTTATTTGGCCAGGATTTCTAAAGTCTTGACCAGTCAGTGGCCAGCCTGCTTCCTCTCCCAAATCACCTTTCTGATGATAAGGCAAAACAGCCTTCATCCTAAACTAGTTTTGCCTCATAATTTATGTTGAACTTCTAGTCTAGATGAACAACATTCTTGGCTCCTCTGGTCTTGATACAACACGTTTCCTAATTCCAGTGAAGCATATAAGTACTGGAAAAAACCAGTGGTATATGGGATTTTATGATTAGCATTTGGGTTTAAATTTGTTAATTAAAACAAATGCAGATTAATTTGATGAAAAGGTATCACAGAACTTCCAATGGCAAAAAGTTCTAACTCTCCATCACCCTTAAATCCAGTCTGTGGCCAAATTTCACTGATCTGTCACCTCTTTGTTCCAGTCCCAGGCTATCCCCTCCAGCTTAGATCTGCTCCAGTCATCTCATGACTCTCTAGTCTCCTGGCTGCAGTGCCTCCCTCCTTTAATCATTCTATGTGTCACTTTGTCCTTGATTAGCTTCAAAACCATTGCCCTACCAGTTACCACGAAACTCCAAAATCCCCAAAGGCTACCCCTGTGGTCACTGAGTCAAGTGCAAATTTCACATCTTTGTCACTCTGGGCACCCTGATACAGCCAATGAGACAATCTGATACACGAGTATGTCTGTGTATTTTCCTTCCCCCAGGCCTTTGCTCTAACTCCTGTAATTCCCACACATGCATACCTATTACTCCCTTCACATTCCTTCTGTCTCTCCTCCCCACCAATCTAAACCCTACCAACTCTTTAAGACCCATCTCTTCCATCAGGAACGGACTTTTCCTCGGAAATTCCAGTGTTCTCTACTTTACAAATTGCATTTAAAACATTCTACTGCCTGTTTATTATCATGCATCTTATCTTCCTATTCATTTTAACCTACTGAGAAGTAGAGACAAAATCTATATTTCCTTCTTATTCTCCATATAGAACCACACCTTACATTTGGCATTCACTTTGATAAATACTTACTGAATAAATGAACAAAAATGTTATGTCCTAATTATATTCATTTTACAAAGTATTTTAGATTGTATTCTTTTATTTGGTCTTTGAAAGAACTTAGGTTCCCTGATTCCCCAATACATTCCTCACCTAGACATCTAGTGCTAATGGCAGCTAGAGAGGCGGTGCCCTCATATTCCCTTACAGTGAATCCACTGAAGAATTAAAGCCAAAATTGCCTTAATTCTCTCTCTCTTACCATTGACCCATGGCATACGCATTCACCATAACATTTTCAAATCAACGGACAAGGCTTGGGAGGAATACCTGTTGTTGCCCTTTTCTCTTCCCTGTATCTAGCCAATGATATCCTAGAGAGGCTGCCTCCTCAGCTCCTGCCCACTTTCTCAGAGTAACTAATACTCTGGGAAAATCCCTAACTATTCTAAATGCCAGTTCCTAATTTTCAAAAAGAGAAGAACAATACCTAACATTGTAGTTATGAAGACAAAGATAATGAATGAAGTACTGGCACATCACAAGCCCTTAAAACAGTAATTAAAATGAATGATAACGAATGAAACCAGAGAATGGGATTACACCACCCTCCCTAAAGGCTTCGTCTGTATTCTGGAAGAGTGTGGTAACTGGGTAATGAAGAAGCAGAAGTTGGCCCAGTAAGGGCCTTTAAGAACTTGAATAATCAATTGTGTGTTGTGGGGAGAGGGGGACTTTTCTGCTGTTTAAAAGGAGGGTGTTGGTCCTTTCCAGTTTAACGTTTCTATGTGATGTGAAGCACCTAGTAGCAATTTTCTAAATTTCTCCCACACAAATATTTGCCCTCTTCTGCAACCAAGCCCAGCAGAGTGACCAATGTGTGGGTACTTCACTCAGTTCAGACTGTAATAGTCTGAAATTATTCAAAGTTTTATCCTTAAATAATTTTAACTTTGCTTTCATTTCAGAATCCAGGATTAGAGTATCCTTATACCACTTGGAACTCACCCACAAGTCAATTAACTTTGATGTTTTCCCAAAACTAAACATGGATTATAAAACCTTCAATGTTTTTAATCTAAAAGTCAAAGGTATTATAGATGATAGCTTACTCTAATGCCAAAAACTTATTTCAACATTTCATGATTCTAATTTTGATTACAATTCCCAGAGGAAGCGCTGGATTAAGTTCTAATACACTTTTCTAAAGAAGCCAGTTTTAGATAAGTTCCCATTTTAGTCTCTCAATTAGTGGAACTTTAAAATACCTTTTCCCTAGGACACAAAGAAAGAACTTGGAGTGAAATGTAGAGCATTTGTGTGAATCTAAGCACAGATATTGTTTTCATGTGATGAAAGGGGGCATAGAAAGGGTTAAAGATGCTGCCGGCAGTCTAAGAGGACCAACAGAGCTGAAAGCCCCTGACAGCAGGATGTGGGTTATAATGCTCCTGAATGGAATTCTTTTGTGCAAGGGCATTGCAAAGGGCATCCAGGCAGGACTGTGTGTGTTTGGATTTAAATTAATCAAGTCAGTTCCACAATGCTATGATTCCTTCTCTTTAACTGGTTAAGGCAGGTTTACTGGCAGTTCCCAAATGATGTCAATAGCTTCTAAAAGGTCAAATGCAATGAAGCACATCAAATGTCCTGGAGTAAAAACTGCCAATAACTTCTCCCTCTATAACCTGCTGGGTGTGACTTCTTATGCAGTTGATTATCCCATTTTAATCAACTGCCCTGGTTTTCTTCTTTTCATTTCCCTCCAAAAGTTAACACATATTTATACATTTTATGATACACATGACAAACTGTCTGTTTTATTCTGTGGCATGTCTGGCTAAAAACAACAAAAATGGTCCCACTGCAGTATTGGGGGTGGGGGATGAGATGGGGAAAGTAAGGAGGTAGAAGTATTATAGTCAATAGGGACCAAGTACCACCAAAGCATCATCTGTGTTATTAACACAAACTCACAAAAGAAACCTGTAGCTATAATCAATGGTGATGTCAAGTAACAAATGCTCAGAAAACAGCATATATATAAAAAGGAAGAACCCCAAGTCAGGTGGAAAATTTCATCTGGGTTCAAAATCATGAATTCTAGGCCTCGGGGACCTTCTTTAAAACCCAGTGTTTGTTTTTCCCAAGCAGTGAGGGTTCAAATGCATTCCTGTAACATATTAACCATGGGTGTCTTGGGCACGGAGTCAAAAGGAAAAAGGAAGGGAGACAAGTCAAGTGTACTAGAATATGAAGTAATCAGGACCAGCTCTTGTCTGACAAGGCCAGAGAAACAATTGCCAGCCCAGGGACTTAACGGAAGTTCCAAGCACTCAACACAGCCCCCGCCCTCCTATCAATGTCCCTGGCCTTCAACTGCATTGTTGCATAGGGTTTTAGAGCCCAGCATTGGGTCTACATCTCAACTCTGCCACTTCCAATGCCCGTGATCCTGGACAAGCTACTACACCTCTCTGGGCCTCACTTTGGTCACCTATAAAAATATGGAAATAAATAATCATACCTCTGAAGATGGGTAAGCCAGGCACAGTTTTAGATCTTTGGAGTACAGTGTTGAACAAGCCACACGAGGCCACGGCTCTCAGGGAGCTTGCATTCTGGGTTGGGAGATAAAAAAGTAAACAACTAAATAAATAACATAATTTGACGTATTTGGAAAAGGGTCTGAAGAAACATACCATAGGATGATGAGAAAAGAAACTGACTGGAGGGAGAAGGACAATACAGTTGTCAGAGAGAAACCTCAGGGGGGCGAGGGCATGAGTGGGGGGCCATGGGGGGGATAAGGACACATATGTAATACCTTAATCAATAAAGAAAAATAAATAAAATAAGAAATGACATTTGAATAAGGAAAAGAAGCAAGATGCATAAAATAAAAGGACAGAGCCTTCTAGGCATAGGATCAGCAAGAACAAAAGTCGGAGACAGAAATAAACTTAGAATGCTCAAGGAATATAAGAAGTCCAGGGCGGCTGAAGGATAGTGAACAGTGAGCAGTAAGTTTGGGGAAACGATCAACAAATTTATGAATGGAGCCTCGGTAAGATGATGAAACTGGACATATAAATTTTGGGGTCAGCTACCTAACACAAATCTCTGTAAGGCGCCCAGCACGGTGCCTGAACACTATGATTACTGATAACTAATCTCTGCATTCTCTCTTTAACAACTGGGTAGATATTTGTATTATGGAGACTGTTAGCAAAATAGAAAGAGAGAGGACAGGTAGAGTTGCATTACCTCAGGGAGAACAAATATGTTTCACATTGACTGCCAACTCTCCAAAATAGTAGGAACTTCCTCGTGTTCTGAGTTGAGCAGGATTCTAAGGCCAAGTAAGAGCCTGTGTGATGATTTATCCAGTGGTCGGCAAACTGCAGCTCAGCAAACTGCACTCGCAAGCCACATGCGGCTCTTTGGCCCCTTGAGGGTGGCTCTTCCACAAAATACCGACTTCTGCGCATGGGCCACGAAGTTTCAATGGCACTGTACGTGCGCGCCCCCACGTGGTATTTTGTGGAAGAGACACAGTCGAGGGGCCAAAGAGCCGCATGTGGCTCGCGAGCCGCGGTTTGCCCACCATGGATCTATTCCATTATATGCAAAGTATATAAATGGTGATAGGTTTCCAAGGCTCTGAAATTGGCAGTTTTTGATCACTATAATTTTTTTCCATATTTAGTAATTTTCTCATCATAATAATATGATTAGATGCCTATTTTCTAATTAAGAAATATGAGGCTCAGAGAAAATCATATGCCCAAAGTGACCAGCCTTCAAACAGTTAAAATCTGGTATCTCTAACTCTTGAGATCATGATCCTACCCAATGTGAAATGTACATGCACATTTGCTAAATTAGCCCCTTATTTGTATTCCCCTGGCTGTACTTTAAGAGTCTTTCCAGCTGAGCCTAGTCGGAGCCTAGTATCTGGTTCCAGTATGGAATGTCTTATACAATCATCAGTCTCATTCTGGCATGTTGTCTGGTTTCTAAATTCACATGTTACCTTCGGAAGAATGCACCCAGGCACAATTATTTTCTGTGTTGATGATAATGGAAAACATCCTAATTTTTAAAATGCCAAATCTACTGGATGTGCAGACTAGGTAATCTTTTTTTAAGAAACATATTTTATCGATGTTTTACAGAGAGGGAGAGGGATAGAGAGTTAGAAACATCCAGCTGCCTCCTGCACACTCGCCACTGGGTACTTGCCTTTAACCAAGGTACATGCCCTTGACCAGAATCGAACCTGGGACCCTCGAGTCCACAGGCCAACTATCTATCCACTGAGCCAAACCGGTTAGGGCCAGACTAGGTAATTTTTAGGCAGGATGACTTCATTTTAGCACCTATCAGAATCGTTTTAGCAAGCACCTACATATTCTTCAACCTACCTTATTCTTCAACTGATAGATTCTCATAGAGCTGCATTTAAAAACACATACATACATACTTTGTTAAATTAAGTTACTGTCACTGCTGTTACTGTTACCTTACCCACAAAACAGCAGATTCATACACTTTAACTAAAGAATAGGAATTTAGTCCTAAGGAATAAGAATTCTAAGGATTGTAGAGCAGTGAGAAGTAAAAACCCTTGTACAGGTTACAGACTAACCACAACATAGGCATCAAGGGTAAACTATATTTAACCCTGAATTGCCTTGTCCTTTCTCTCCACCCCATGCTGTTTTCATCACCTATTTTCTGTAAGAGGGCTTCATAACAGGGTTGGGGGGGGGGGCAGTGAGAGAATGCCATATAATACATTGATTTGATTCCAGCAAACCAGAATTTGAATTTTTATTAGCAAGAGCCATATGCAAAAGCAATAATACACTATACTTATCAGAGTGGTTAGTTTTATTCATGAACCCATGCTGGGTTAAGAAAAGAAAAATGACAAAAAAACTAACTTCAAAGCATTGCTAAAAGATGATTAACTCTTTAGCACAAATGAGAGTGATACACTCCTTTGATGTGTGAGAATTTTTAGTGCCTAAATTTAAAGAAAGGATATCTACAATACAAGTTTAACCATTTAAAAAAAATCCAATGATACACTTCTTTTGCATCTAGAAAACCAGTAATTACCTAAGGGAATAAAAAAAAATTGAAATTCAGCCTCAGAAATTAAGCCTTAAATGCAAAGCGCACATACAATATTCCTCCCTCATATACAGTTCAGTGGCAAAACGCCAGCTCTAAAATATTCAGTACAGAAAATATAACTCTTTCCATTGTCATATTTTCAGAGTACTTTGGGCTTGATCAAGCTGCATACACATCTTCATCTCAAAAATTCAGCTACACTTAAATTGAAGTGTTATTCAATACACAAACTATGTGACACATTATTGCAAAGACTACAGTTGTATAAACGCTTGTGCTAACACTCAACTTGAAATAAATGTTGACAATGATCTAAAATTGCTAATCTTGGAGCCCTGCGTAACCTCTATCATTTATAGAGTATATGTCATGGTCTATTTTCACACAAAAAAATGAGAATTACTATTGAACTAGAGGCCTGTTGCACAAAGAGATTCGTGCAATAGGCCTTCCTTTCCCCTGGCTGCTGGCATCGGTTTGCTTCCAGCACCCGGGGGCCCAGGCCTTCGCTCTGGCCAGGTTCTGGCTGGAGCTAGCCCCGGAAACGTCAGGCCTCGCTGCTCTGCCGGCCCGTTTGCATATCACGCTGATTAGCCCATGGGAGGCGTAGTGAAGGTACGGTCAATTACCATGTTTGTCTATTATTATTATTATTATTATTATTATTATTATCATTGAATATGTATAATTCTTAAAGATTGTGTGAAAATAGGCCATGGAATATATGGTATAAATTTCAAGAGAAAATGGAAATTCTTAAGAAAAAAAAGTGTGTATAGATTAAAATATGTGATTTTTCAGAGCAATCGCCCAAAGACATGGGAGAGATGGAAGGTTAACATCATGCACCTAAGATGGCTTTTAACATGAAAATATATCAGATCCATTATTTGCTAAAATACTTGTATTTACAGATCTGAATATATTTAAATAGTATTAAGACCTAAATGCATAACATTATAATTTCCTTTTCTCCTACCAATCTGACACATCTCTATCAATAACTACTTGGAAAAATATGCAAAGCAATCTCAAAAAGAATTACTGTGCTTCATTATGCAAGATGAAAATGCAATTAAAAAAAAATATTGTCTGACATTCAGGTCTATATGCTGGTGCTGCAGGTCAAAAACTATTAGCCACCTGCTGAAAATACATACTAGAAAATAAAATGGCCCTCAAAATAATTTTGAATACAGTATTCTCAAAATGAGTGAGGTTGCCTTTTAAATGGTTAAAAACATGATACCTCAAAAAGGAAGTATACTTATCATGCCAGAAATTAATTTATAAATAAGATTTAATGATGGTCATATAAGTTAGAACATTCAAATTGGATAAAGAAAGCACGTCTACTATGAGAGAAATTAATATACAAAAGAACCAAGCAGCTCAACACTATATGTATATTGTTGCCTTCTTTTCCAATAAAAGTAACAAATTCAATATGATTCCTAGGATTCTTAGGACATTCTCTCTTACTATTCAGAAGTCTTCTGGGGACTGACCCAACAGTGCTTTTGTATCTTTAAGATATTCTATAAATATATTTTCATAGAAAAAGCAAAACACCCAAAGAACCCACAATTCTGCCCTGTTTAACATTTTGACACTTGACAATGAAACATATGGTTCTCAATCATTACTATATTAATAGATTCTATTAGTAATTATTAGGTAATTGGTCACTCAGCATTTTATACAGCCAGATACTAAGCTAAGTTCTTGATACATCTTAATGCATTTAAACCTCACAACAACTTTATGGTGTAGGCAATAGCCTATTGCCATTTTACAAGTGAGGAAATCAAGGCACAGAGAGGCTAAATAATTTTCTCATCGTTAAACAGATGGCAGGTAGCTTACATTTCAGTGAGGGAAGCATAGTTTACAGAATGCGAGGTCCCCTAATGTGATGGGCAAGCAAGGGAAAGAAAATGGAGGCAAAAGTACAAAGAGAGTCAAATGAAAGAATGAAACAGAGAAAAATGCTTTCTCTTTCACTATCGTCTCTAATCTTATCTGGCTGACTGTGGTGTGCTTAATAAATGGAAAGAACTGCAACCAGGTTTGCAAGAACAAAGATGACTCCTACCTTAGACACTAGGAAGCTCCCAATTTCTTGCCTTACCTACAAGATTGATTCTGCTGTGTGGACCTACAAATGCCCAATCTCAACGCCCAGGCTCTGAGATGAAATCTGATGAATAAATCCACATGTTGGTCCCATGTCAGATTCACGGGCTGCGCAGGCACAGGTGGGTGGGTGTATGAGAGTCCTGGACTATTCGCCCATAAACCGTGGACGAAGGGCACCCTGGAGGCTCACCTCATGAAGAGGAAGGTTCCCAGGTTGTTCGCTCCATAGGTTTCAGCTCTCCTGCTGTTGCCCTCATTGACTTGATCCAACCTAAACTTGTCTGTAAAAAAAATCTTAAACTGGCTCCCCAATAGAACTATCCAGTGTCCATTACAGGGGCCCTAATCTAAAAT